CAAGCAGACTCCCCGCTGAGCATGGGCACCCCCCTCCAACACACACCAGGCTGGATCTCACAACCCTGAGACCATGACCTTAGCCGAAATCGAGAGTTGGACACTCAACTGACTGAGACACCTGGATGTCCTCTTAGTATCTAATTTTTAAAGAAATGTGTGAATTACCAAAATTGACTCAAGAAGAAATTGCAAACCCAAATTAACTACCATTAGACAAAGTGAACTGAATTTTTAAAATATTATGGTTTCACAGATAAGCTTTACGAAACAATCAAGGCACAAATAATACCTCCCTCATATAAACTGTTACAGAAAATAGAAAAGAAGCTTATTTCCAAATGCATTTTAGGAGGGTAGTACAACCCTGATACCAAATGTGGACAAAGGCAGTGCAAGAAAAGAAAATTATAAGCCCAAATCACTTTCAAGTATGGATGCTAAAATAAAAAATACTCATAAATTGCGTGAAGCATATATTAAAGAAATAATAGTACATTATGGGAAATTCAGGTATATCTCAGAGAATGCAAGGATAGGTCCATATTTGAAAAAGCTATCAGTGACCCTTTATATTAACATAACAAAGACAAAACCTATAATCATCTCAATGGTTTTAGAAAAAGGATTTAATAAAATTCAGTATTCATTGCATGGATTTAAAATATTCCTGCTTTAAACTCAGCTGGGATAGAAGGGAACTCCTTCAGCAGATAAAGGGTTTCTATCAAAAACTTACAACAACGAAAGTCGTAATAATTGCACATTAAAAATATTCTCAATGACGGACACCTGGGTGGCTCAGTTGGTTAAGCACAAACCTTCGGCTCAGGTCACGAGCCCATGGTCTTGGGATCAAGTCCCACATCGGGCTGCTTGCTCAGCGGGAAGTCTGTTTCTCCCTCTGCCTGCTGCTCCCCCTGCTTGTGCTCTCTCAATCTCTACCTCTGACAAATAAATAAATAAAATCTTAAAAAAAAATTCTCAATGAGATAGAAACAGGGAACTGATAATCAAGAGCATGATTTACAGATAATATGATTAGCTATATAAAAATACAAGAAAATATGCAAATGATCCATTTCGCTAATAAAGATAAGGAAGTTCAGCGTGTTTGCTAAGATTATTCCAAAATCAGGGGCGCCTGGCTGGCTCAGTGGGTTAAGCCGCTGCCTTCGGCTCAGGTCATGATCTCAGAGTCCTGGGATCGAGCCCCGCATCGGGCTCTCTGCTCGGCAGGGAGCCTGCTTCCTCCTCTCTCTCTCTGCCTGCCTCTCTCCCTACTTGTGATCTCTCTGTCAAATAAATAAATAAAATCTTTAAAAAAAAAAAAAAGATTATTCCAAAATCAGTATTTTCAAACAGCATCAATAACCAATTAAAAAATTTATAGTTTTATATAAATTTTTATAACAGCAACAAAAGCTGTAAGATACCTAGAAATAAATCTAACAAAGAGGTGTAAGAATTTTTATAAATAAACTATGAAATGTTATTGAAGGATATGAAGAAATCAGTGATATTCATGTATTAGATGACTCACTTTTATAACGATATCTTATCTCCCAAAACTTAATGTATAAATTTAACTTAGCAAAATACCAAAAAAGGTTTTTCAATGGAAGTTGACAAACTGATGCTAACGTTAGTATGGAAGAGCAGAAGTCCCAAAATAGCCAGTACAGTTTAAAACATGAACAAAATGGGGGGGGGGGAGCCCTTCTAGACATGAAGACTTACTATAAAGCCATAATAATTAAAACAGTGTGGTATTGGCTCAGAATTGGTTTGATCAGTGGAAAAGGACAAAGTAGGAACATATCCATGAATATATGAAAATTTAATTTTCATCATGGTGGCATTACATGTTAATGGGGGAATGAAAGACTGTCCAATAAAGTAGGTCAGGATAACAGGTTTTCCATATTGGGAAAGGGGTAAAGTAAAATTAAATTTCTAACTTACACCATTTAAAAAAATAAGTCCCAGGGAATCAATTTTATAAGTGTCGAGAGCAAAAACTTCAAAACGTTAAGGGGAAGAAAAGGTTATCTTCATGGTATCAGGTATGAAGTGAGTTCTTCCATAAGACCCAAATGACACAAACTATAAAGAGATCAAGGAATATGACCACATTTTAAATTTTCTATAGTACAAAAGACATCAAAAGCAGTCAGAAGAGGAGCCCCAGACTGAGACAATATGAGGTTTATATGTATGAACTCCTATAAAACAAGAGGGAAAAAAATGAAAACATATACAGCCCATTGGAAAAATGGAGGAGGTCTGTAAAAAACCAAATCACAGGCTCAATCTTAATAGCTAATCAATATATGAAGAAACGCTCAACCTCCCTAGTAGTGAGGGAAATGCAAATAAAACAACAAGATCCTGGGTTTTGAAAAAGTCAGATTGTCAGAAATGAGAAAATTCTGAATCTAGAAAAGGTCACGTGAGGGAGACAAGCACTCTCACCTGCCGCTGGTGGACATGTAAATTGAAGAACCATTTGGCAACCTCTGACAAAACTGGACATGTGCATGTAGCCTAGCAATTCCCCATCTAGGTAGATTCAGAGAGAAATTCTCACATACGTGCAAGGGACACATGTACACACATGTTCATATTAGCGTTGCCCCAAGTATCAGCATCCGCTTAAATATTCATCAATAGGGCATGAATAAACAAGGCACATTTATATGCATGGATCTACAATATAGCAATTAAAATGAATGAACTGATTTATATTTATCAACATGGAGAGAAAATAAAAACATACCATGGAGGAAAAAAAAAACCAAGTCAGAATATGTACAGTCTAACATCACACAAACACATTTTAAAAATCAAAACAATATTCTGTATTTGTATGGGTTCAGGTATAGTCCAAATATAAAACCTAGATGGGAAAGTTACATACTAAATTCATGATAGTGTTTGCCTTTGGAGAAAAAGGTGAAGAACGGTTTTGGGGAGGAGTACAAAGGGACTTCAGTTTTATCAGAAATCTTGAATAGTTCAATTAAAAAAAATCTGCAGCAGATCTGGCAAAATGCTAACATTCACCAATTATATGATAGGTATATGGATGCTTGTGATATTGTCTCTGCGTTTTAAAATACCTTTACATTTTTTCCCAAATAATGAAATTAAAAGAAAAGCAGGTAGTAAAGAATTCACTGATAGAAATTTCACCTGTGTAGATAAATTGAGCCAATTGTCTAAAATTCTGAGGCAAGGAACTTTATAATTACCTGTCTTAGAATGGAGTCTCCATAAAAATAATAGAGCTGGTACTATTAATAAAACTACTGAAATGAATAAAGCAGATTCTATAGGTATCAACATGGATAGTTGTCAAAATCATATTGAGGAGAAAAAGTAAGTTGCAAAATGACATGTACACTAGTATACCATTTATAAAGAAAATTTAAAATACACAAGCATGGGTATATATATTTACATATAAATATATAAGCAATTAGGTAATAAAGGTATAATAATAAATGCTGGAAGAATACACTCTTTATAATACTGATTACCTAGGGAAGTAAGGAGGCAGAAAGTTGAATTAGGGAGGGAAATAAAGTGACATTTAGTTCTATCTGCAATCTTTTAATATAAATTAAAAACCTGAAGGAAGCATGACAAATATTTTACATTTGATTATTCTAGGAAGTAAATACACGAATGTATGTTATTCTTGATGTATATGTATTTTTAATTTCCAAAAGAAAAAGTACTGAAGAAGCACAAATAAAATGCACATAATTCAACACTATGTAAGTAAAGCTTGTATACATCAAAAGCCGTGCTATGACTATTTTTAGAAATTATCCTGTTTGCTTTTCTATGTGTTTTTAATTTTTCAAAAATCAAGGGAGGATAAAAAGCAATGAAATGCAAAAAAAAAAAAAAAATCAAACATATACCTGATCACATAAAAAGAAAACCCTGCAAAATCACAAGGAACAATTCTATATCATTTGCTGCATTTTTCTTATTTTTAATTTTTTTCAAAAGAAAAATAAAAGATGTTGCCTAATTGGAAACGTGACTTTCTATTATTAAAATTGTGGGAGTCCATTTTAATGTGTTTATCTCGCTGCTAGTCTATAATTTATATTTCAGCGTGGAAATTTGTTTGTATGCCTGTGACAGGTTAATGCAGTTTAAACATGCATTTTTCTTTCGTTGGTTGAATAGTTAAATCGTTACTCAAAGGATTTTAAGTTTCAATTTCAACCATGAGAGGATTCTTTGCTTTTTCAAGGTTAGAAATGTTTCTGGTTCAAAATGCTATTAATTAATAGCTACGTAGTGGATCTATTTAGGGAATTGGTACCGACTCCGGATTAACAGTGGAACTGTTAAATGAGAAAACTTTTTTTTGATGCAGACTTGGGGCTATTTTAAATTTGGTGTGACAGCGGTGGACAGAAATGAAATGTAATTCCAGCCCGCTCAACTCACGATCGTAATTATGAATCGAAAGACATATCAGGTATTAGCATTTTTTTTTCCTTAAAAAAAAAAAAGTTTCTCGGACTCCGCCGGACACCCAGCTGGCGGAGGACCAGCGGGCGCGGCGGGGGGGACGGGGGGGGGGCGGCGGCGAAGCCGGCAGGCTGCCCAGAAGTTACGATCGGGGAGTTTTCTCTTTATTAAAATTACCTGGCTCACCAGCAGAGGCAAGAAAGCGAAGACAAGATAATTTCTTAGGCTGTTAAAAATGACTTAGCCCGGTGGGCCCCGCGTTCCGAGGGGGTGTCCTGCGGGCCGGGGCGGGTCCCGCCGCCCCCGCGGGCTCCGGTGCGTCAGGGGCGCGTCAGGCGGGGCGGGCTCCGCGCGGGCGGCGGCGGCGGCGCCGGGCGGCGGGCGGCGCGCACCGGGCCTCCTGCTTCTCGCTCCGAGGCTGCGGGACGGACGCTCCCGAGAACTCTCTCGCCCGCGGCCGGCTGCGCTCGGACGGCGCTCGCCGGCGGCCAGGCGGTGCCAGCATGTCCGCCGCCGTGGCGTGCCTGGACTACTTCGCCGCTGAGTGCTTGGTGTCCATGTCCGCGGGCGCCGTGGTTCACCGCCGCCCGCCGGACCCCGAGGGCGCGGGCGGAGCCGCCGGCTCGGAGGTGGGTGCGGCGCCGCCGGAGTCCGCTCTGCCGGGTCCGGGGCTACCGGGACCCGCGTCGGTCCCCCCGCTCCCCCAGGTCCCCGCCCCCAGCCCCGGCGCGGGCGGCGCCGCGCCCCACCTGCTGGCTGCAAGCGTCTTGGCTGACTTGCGCGGCGGCTCTGGGGAGGGCTTCGGGGAGAACTCGGGGGAAGCTCTGCACGCCTCGTCCGGCTCCTCCGGCCCGACCCGGGGCTCCGGCCCGACCCTGGGCTCAGAGCCGGCCCCGGCCAGCAGCGCGGCGGAGATCTGCGGACCCGCGCACTCCTCCGGCGAGCTCGGGGTCCCCGGAGCGCCGGACGTCCCCGGAGCGCCTGCGGTCCCCGGGGAGGTCCCTGGGGAGGCCCCTGGGGCCGGCCCCGCCCCCGCCACAGGTCCAGTGCCCCGTCGGAGGCCGGTGACACCCGCCGCCAAGCGCCATCGCTGCCCCTTTCCGGGCTGCAACAAAGCCTATTACAAGTCGTCGCATCTGAAGTCCCACCAGCGCACCCACACGGGTGAGCGCCCTTTCTCCTGCGACTGGCTCGACTGCGACAAGAAGTTCACGCGCTCGGACGAGCTGGCCCGCCACTACAGGACGCACACGGGCGAGAAGCGCTTCTCCTGCCCCCTCTGCCCCAAGCAGTTCTCCAGGAGCGACCATCTGACCAAGCACGCTCGCCGCCACCCAGCCTATCATCCCGACATGATCGAGTACCGCGGGCGCCGTCGCACTCCCCGCGTCGACTCGCAACCCACCGGCACGGTGGACAGCTCCGGCTCCGACCCCGGCCAGGCGCCCAGCCTCACCACCTGCCTGTCTGACAGTCATTGCTGTTAGTCGTCCCCGCCAGGACGATCCCCCCTGGCCGTTGTCCCTGCCTTTTCTTTGCCCGTCCCTCTTTTCCCAGAGTCATTAGACCAAGGCACAAGACTGGTTCCTCTGCTTCGAGGGTCGGTCCAGGCAGGCACGTTGGACCCTGGGGAGGGACTGGGGGCCTGAAAACAGCAGGAATTCTTACAACACGTATATCGACCTAAAAAGGAGGGTTGCCTCAAGACGGCCCCTTGGAACTGGTGAGAAGGGGTGAACCCCGGTACTCTCCAGAGTCCTGAAGATTTTCCCTTCCTTGGAACTAGAGGTGTGAAACTGGAATTCTCAGGTGCCTGAGGAGCTCCCAGTCTCAAAGGACTCTGGTATCTTACCCACCCACCAGGGCGGACCTTGGAGAGGGTGTCAGGGGTGGCAGTCTTGGAAATGTCCAGGACTGGGGTGGTGAGAGGCCTTTGGAAACAGAAATGATTTCTATTTCTGTAAATAGCAATGTTTACTAATTTATTTTTAGTATCTTTTAAACAGGGAACCCAGGTTGATGGGAGGTTGCTGTCCTCCACTCCCCAATTGCCCCAGCTACCTCTGCTAGGAGAGGCCATGTAAGAGTCCTTGTGAATGTATGGCTGGGAGATGCTTCTTGGTGTCTGGGAGCGGTGTGAGTTTGTTTGCAGATCCTGTTGCATGGTTTGGAACCCTGCACTTGCGTCGTAGCCTTTCTTCCCATTTGGATTCCTACTCGTGGAGGGAAACTTCCTGGCTCACTCCTGCAGTAAGTTTGGTTTAAAAATTTAGAAACAACCATAAAAGCACCAGAAATGAAAGAGTGGTCCAGGCTAGTTCCCCTTTCACCCTCAGGTGACTTTGGGTGAGATCGGTCCAAAACAAGACCTTTCAGGACCATTGTGAACATTCAGGGAAATAGGGGCATGTGGTTCCAGTTGCCCAGTCCAAGTAATCTCAGGTGTGGTAGACTCTGTTCATTTCTTAGTGGCTAATGAGGGGTTTATTTCCCTTGGGAAGTGTGCATTTTTGTTTTTTGCAGCAAATGAGTTGATGGTTTGGGGAGGGGAAGATGAGAGTGGCTTTCTCCAAAGATCTGGTTGTCCTGGATTTTGGGAAGGAATAGCAAGGTGAAAATTATTATCAAATAAGAGGACCCTTCTCCCTTTACCTTGGAGTCCCTCTGAGTTACACCCTCAGGACCCTTCTGCCCCAATGCAGGACTCAAGCATCAGCAGTATTTATTTTTCTATACCTATCTCTGCTGCTATGAATGAAGTTGTCCGCCACTCTGCTTTTGTATGTGTGAATGTGTATACATGTGACCCTTTTACTAGAGATGGGGCTGAAAGGAATTTCCTGCTCTGATAAGGTCCTTGCAGGCCCCCTCCTGAATGTCTTGTAATAGTCCCTCAATCTCATTTGTGGAGGGTGTCATAATCTCAAAGGACCATAACAGCATCTAGGTAAGCAAACTGCTTTTCCCTGTTTTGCAGATGAAGACATCGAAGCCTAGATAAGTTTAAAGTCTCATGCTGAGTTGCTGACAAAAGCCGGGACTAGAATTTAGGTATCTGGCTTTCTAAGTGACTCTTTCCCTCAGGCTTGGTTACCTCACCTCCTCTCTTTCTTTCTCTCTCTCTGGGCCCTTAGTCAAAGGACACCACTCTCCCTTCCTGCCACCAATATCCCCTCCCTCCCTAATCCCTGTCACTTCTAAGTTCTTTCTAATGTCCAGTCCCCGCTGAACACTTTGCCTGTTGTGTTTAACCCCAAACCCCTTTTTCTGGCAGGTTGAGTCCATTTCCTCCTTCCACACCATGTGGACCTACAGTGGGAATGACTGTTTGGCATTTGGGGAGAGACTTTGTCTTTTGACCTGGTAGATTAATTTTCAGTGCCAATTCTATTCTTCCTCTGGTCCTGGGCATTATATTTTCCTTGAGTGAGTGATACAAATTTGACATTGGGACTCTACTAGGTGCTCCTGCACTAAGTGAGGGAAGGATTCTTAAGAAGGACCCAAAGGTTATGCCCTATGACTTTGAAGAGGTCAGTGTTTCCTGATGCAGACTAAGCAGGGTGAGTGGGGCTCTTTTTGAGTTACATATGGGAGGAGGAGGCCCCCAATTGTGTAGGTGGGTTTTTGGTGATGGGAAGAGTCCTCCCTTCACTCTGTTTGTCTCCTCAGCTGGGACTGGATGGGAAGGGCACTCTGGGCCCCCTTGAGCATTGTCATTTCCCCTTTGTCTTCTTCAGTAGAAGATCTGCCATTGGGTAGATGAACAACGAAGCTAACAGGAGAGAGACTCCCACTGACTATTCTGGAATTGGGCTCAAGAATGCTTGGCTTTTTCAACCACCCTTTGATAAATAACTTTTGAATCTCAAGCTTCTAAACAGTGTCCTTATTTGGGTTTTTCGACCTGGGGGACTTTTGTCTGGGGATGAACTCTGACAACCTAAGTGTGGTGTGTCTTCCAATGATGACTTTTAGGACTTGGGATGGTGGGGAGGGAGCCACTCAAAACACTCAGAGTAGCCAGATGATGGAGGCAAGATTTATAGGCTAGTCTGTTGTGTTTTTTTTAATATTTTATTTATTTATTGGGGGTGAGGGGAAGAGCACAAGCAGAGGGAGGGGCAGAGGGAGAAGCAGGCTCCCCACTAAGCAAGGAAGGGGGGGAGAGCACAAGCAGGGGGAGGGGCAGAGGGAGAAGGAGGCTCCAAAATGAGCGAGGAAGGAGGGGGGAGCACAAGCAGGGGGAGGGGCAGAGGGAGAAGCAGGTTTCCATTGAGCAAGGAACACCCTGATGCAGGACTCAATCCAGGACCCTGGGATCATGACCTGAGCCAAAGGCAGATGCTTAAACAACTGAGCCTCCCATGTGTCCCATAAGCTAGTCTTTCTTAGTCTTGGGTATTGTTACCCTTTCACTCAGGCAGCCAGACAGCTCTTGAAAAGCAATTATTAGTGAATTGTCTTGGAAAGGGCTTCCTAGTTTTATTGATGTTTCTTTTGTTTCTTTTTGTTAAACAGGTGGAGCTCAATTAGCTACTGAGTCTGGGGATTGGTTAGGGTCACCTGAACCTCTGGGCCCTTCCCCACCCCAGCCATCTGAGTTCTGATGTAGGAATGACCAAAGCCATTAACAGAATCTACTGATAGGACTCTTCCTGAATTCTGGTTTGGGAGCTAGGAATGAATTCCAGGTTAGATCTTGGGTGCAAGGGAATTGGATCCCCAGTCCCTGCTGGGAGGGTGTGAAGAGTAAAGACCTTGCCCCTATCCACAGGGACAAGAATCTGTCATTTGTCTCTATTTCCCTGTTCTCCAAGTAGGAACTATACTGGGATACTACTCTTGGCCCTTCTCTACCTCTTAGTCACTTTTTCCCAAAGGAAGGTTGTGTTCTCTGATGGAGACACAGGGAAGAGGGTCATTGTACACCCACACACACGGACATGTGCATGTTCATGTGCATGCACAGACACACAGATGTGTGCATGCACACGCGTCCACTCTACACTCCCTTCTTTCTTTTTGCCTGCAATGTGTATGCAGTCCTTTCAGATCCAGCTTTCACCTAGCAAGCACACCTGCTGAGGCCCAGACCTGCCTTCCAGAGGCAGGTCTGAAGAGCACCTCTCTCTGTTTCCACGTTTGGAACAGCCATGCCCCCTTGCAGCACTCCAGGTGTTTCCTTTATATATTCTCCTTTGGGTGGGTAATCCCAATATCAGGAATTGGGAGTCATTGGAGCAGCAGATGGTATTAGAAAGCCCAATTCTGACCATAGATACAGCTTCATCAACAAAATATTGATTTTTTAAATATTTTATTTATTTATTTGACAGACAGAGATCACAAGTAGTCAGAGAGGCAGGCAGAGAGAGAGGAGGAAGCAGGCTCACTGCTGAGCAGAGAGCCCGATGCGGGGCTCGATCCCAGGACTCTGAGACCATGACCTGAGCCGAAGGCAGAGGCTTTAACCCACTGAGCCAGCCAGGTGCCCCAAAATATTGATATTTTGATCTTCATTAGTCTGATTCCTATAACTATTACCCAGGTGGTTGAGAAATGAGAGAGGAAGGGAATGTGATTAATTTTCTCCCTTAAGCCCCAACACATGCAAATATGCTTTGGCTATATATTTTGGGAAATAAGCACTCTGATAGGAATTAAGGAACCAAAGTAAGACATGTGGAGATGGGATGTCTGGTGTGCCATGGCACAGGTCTTTGGCACATTAGTGATCTTGGACCATTCAGTTCTTTGGCCTTTTCAAGTCCTAGCAGCTTATAGTAACTAGCTTCCAAACCCAAGCTACCTTTTTAGAGGTACTGGACATAGGACTCTGTGAAAGTAGGCTGCCCAGGCCACTGTGGCTGATCTTGGTTCACATAGATATAGTTGAGGCAGACTTGTTGCAGAAGGGAGAAACACTATTAAAAAAAAAAAAAAAAAGATTTGTTTTTTTTAAAGAGAGCACAGGGTGGGGCAGAGGGAGAAAGAGAATCCTGAAGCAGACTCCAAACTGAGCAGTGAGCCTGAGGGGCTTGATCCCAGGACACTGAGATCATGACCTGAGCTGAAATCAAGAGTCGGATGTTTAACCAACTGAGCCACCCAGGTGTCCCAGGGGAAGCACTGTTGAATGGAACAATTTGTGCTGCCTTTAGTGTCAGCCAGAATTGTAGATGAGGACTTTAAGGTGCAATGACATAAGTTCTGTGTGAACTTCAAAACAAAAGCTCAGCAGATTCTACCCCTAAAACTGTGCTGGGGATTAGCAGGTGGCATTAGATCAGTTTCACCCAAATTGGTTCTCTCTTATCTTTTTATTTTTTTTTAAGAGTTTTATTTGGGGCACCTGGGTGGCTCAGGCATTAAGCGTCTGCCTTCGGCTCAGATCATGATCCCAGGGTCCTGAAATTGAGCCCCGCATCACATCAGGCTCCCTGCTTAGCGGGAAGCCTGCTTCTCCCTCTCCTTTTAAAAAAAT